GTTTTTCTTCCTAAACTGCAGTCTGCTCTTGGTTTCATCCGCTTTCTTTGTCCAGAGTTATTGTGACCTCAGCCTCGAGGCTCCTACAGTGAAGATAGAGCAGCTAGGAGATCATAGCGTAATAAGACTGTTGAGGAGAATTAGCCGCAGGTTTCAGGTCATATGATGGGATGGCCACCAATAAATAAAAGGAACTGTCCATACTTGACCCACAGGGCGAATGTCTGAACTGTGCAACATATTTCTCCTCATCCTCCCTGGATTCACTGCGGGGTCGCTGTGACCCGTGTGAGAAGAAGAGGCTTAGTTACACAGAAATATTTCTCAGCTCAAGCATTGCTGGAATTAAGGCCAATAAAATGAAGACAGACTCCGGATCAGTGGCCGTATTGTTTCATCACTCACTTGTCAGAGGTCAAGTCGGGAAAAACTCACTGTTTTCCTCCTCATTCAGAGCACAAAGTGGTTCATCCTGAGAACGCAATCTAGCCTAATAAACAGGCCTCTCTCTTCTAACATATTTCACATGGGCGCCTGGGAGGAGACATTTGTTTTTCCTTGCTGTGTAGGAGTCATCAAGTCACACTGGCAGGGAAAAAATAATGCCATTAATGAAAGCCAAATTGAATTAAAGCATGAATTTGACCGTGGGTTTCCTCAATGTCATGGGCTTACACAGAGATTCCTCTATCTGCCCCTTATAAACACACACACACCCATACACACCCATATATCTATACACACAAATAATCCCTTTGCTGGGAATGAGGTCTCTCAATCTCCACAAACAATCAGATAATCCTCCAGGAATCCTTTACTTCTCTTGGTCTCTCTATCACAGATAGAAAGGGGGGGAAAGGAGGCAGACATATACCCATTCACAGTCACATACACACACACCATCAAATCATACAAGCTGCCTTTATCCTAAAATATGGTCTACCCATCTTAAGCAGCTCAGGTGGCATCAGGGATTTACCATATAAATGACCTGCCTGTCTGCTGGTAGATAAAACTTACTCTGTTGACTGAGTGCCATAAAGTGTTTGTGTGAGGCCAAATGAACCCACCTGGGTGCTTGTATAGCACTTTGTGTGGCTGTGTGTGGTCTTATAGTGTTTCTGTGGCTTTACATCGGATTTGAAGGAGGAATTACACTAGTTGCCCCCCCAGCCCAAAATGCTGACATATTATTGGGGTAGATTTATATAAATAGACCAACATAAAATGTTGCATCATTGTGATATTTAGTTTTTTTGTCCTTCGATTAAAATTCTCACTAATAAAAATATAAGGAGAGTGCCTTAGTATTTGATGTTCCTGAGTAAACGCTTTTCTTTTGCGAAACAGCTGCAAATGTTTTGGGCTTTCTCTACCAGCTTTGCACATCTAAAAATATATCAAGCTTTAGAGAGATTCAAGCGTCTGTGAACATTAATTTACAAGTCTTCCCACACATTTTCAATTAGATGCACATCTAGAGCTGTTCAATAGGCCTGGATTTAAAAGAAAATGCACTGTAGCTTTGGTTGCATCTTTATTGTTTTAAAAAAATGAATCCTCCAGTCTCCTCTTAAGACTCAAAAGCCTCCAATTTAGTGTTTTTATCCATCTTTGCATTTACTCTCAATTGTTTCCCTTTTTCCATTTTTTTAAACTATTGAGATGGAGGTTATGGTCAGCGATTAAGGTGCGACTGTTTGACAAATGCAGACAGCAACTTGACAACAAAGAAGACAAGTGGCCGCCATGTCTTTGGTCTGTTTTTGATCTGCGCCATCATTTTGGGTTGCCAAAATTCCCTCTGTCATCCCAGCAGCCGAACCCATTCGCCAAACGCAACAGGGCTGGCTGACGGCAAAGCCGACTGGCAACCGGACCGCTGCCACTCGGCTGTGGCGTCACGCCTGCTGCATGTCACACTGTTGCATTTCAAGCTGCATGTAAATGGGGTGGAAATGATCTACTCGCACCTGCAGCTTGTGAGGTGATGGAGTGTGCTGCGTGGGATTGTACAAACAGTCAGCCATGAGAAAATGTTTTTTCTCCTAAAATAATCCTTCAATACATTGTTTCCTTCAATCCGTTTCTCCTCCCCTCACCCTGTCCCTCCTGTCTGTTTCTTCACAGACCACACCAACACAATGGGAGAATTGGTATTTTTAGAATAGGAGCCCCAAGAGGATTCTCATCAAATATACTCTAGATGCATTGTGTTCAAAATGTATTCGCCCACGTTAAGTCAGTTGTTTTCCATATTTGCAAAAAAATACAATAGAATGCAACCCCTTTAAAAAGCACCTTAGCTGTGGAGTCTTGCCGCTGTGTGATGCAGTTGGAGGGCATTGCTATGCTCCGTATAGCTGAATCTGAGAATTAAAGAAGTCTTTGAACTCCCTGTAACACCGGCTGCACAGAGAAACAACCTCAGCTTTAAAAGCCACTTTTTTTTTGCCCTGCAGATACTTACAGTACAACACAAAAAAAAGCTCTGTAAGGCTGCAGACCTAAACATTTTTTTTAGGAGCTGAAAGAAGAATAGCAGCTCTGTTTATTAGAAAAAGGCACATTAGGCAAAACAGAGTCATTTTTTTTTGCCACAAAAGGCCCAGAAAGAAACCGAACAAGGTAAGGGAATTACTCTGTAAGGAAGAAACGTGAAGCTTTCTCTAGGCTGGAACTGGGACAAACATGAAACAGATCCGAATGAAGCTTGCCCAGAACATGTCAAAGCCAGAGATCAGGCCTTCTTTTTGTTTTAGCTGTGCTTCTGAAATGTCTCCACTGTTCATTAATTATCTTCCTTTCATAAGGAAGAGGAACTACATGAATGTAGAACCATGAGAGTAGACAAGCTTAGAAATAAACGAGAAAGAAAGATCGCAATCATGATTTGAAACTTGCTACAAAGCCGTGTTCAGGTGAAGTGTTAAGAAAAGCTTTTTTACTTTTCCTCACATTACAATCACTCATTCTAATTTATCCTGATTTTGAGTAATAGAACAACACCCTGCAGCGCATAGCTATGAAGGGGATGAATGACTTGTAATATTTTCCTCACAAATAAAAGTCTGAAATTAGTGGCATGTACTTATATTGAGTCCCCTTTACCCTGCTACTACCAAGAAGGACATTATGCAAGTTTTTACAGAACAATATCTTTAAAGTAGCCCCTTTTTTAACCTTTATAACTAAAACATTGTTTGGTGAGCAGAATGAACCCTCAGTAGTTCCGCGCTGATGCATCTATAAGCCTGTAGCCTATTTTCTCTAATTTACTTTGGTCGGAATTTCCTGTGCTGTTCGGCGGATGTGCATCCATGTTAAATAGCTCCAGCCTACAGACAATCGAAGGGTTATACTCAAGATGGATTTTGTGGATACTGAGAACAGACCAGCATCCAGCTCAACTGGGACACCAATAGCAACTCTTGGTAAGGTGAAAAAACCCTAACCTTGTCAAGTACGAGAGAGAACAAGCAGAAGAGTGCTACAGTTACATGCTTTGGCCACAGGTGGCAGTATCATTAGAAAATACCTCTACAAACAAATTTAATAAAAAAAACAGCTTAATACAAAAGCAATCTACAAATGAATTAGATGCAAGTAATAAAAGTATCTATAAGGTTTTTGTTAAGATTTGCTAAATAACCTTAGAAAACTTTATTATTATTTTAAATTTGGTTATGGTGTATAGAGTTGTTCTTTACACCATTTTCGATTGACCTTGATCAATACTTTTTCATTGTTTTTTTTTAAGATCTTTGAGGTTTTTCTCACTAGTTATCTGTCTAGCTCTAATGATGTGTTTGATTTGTACCGAGACATTTGAAGTTAAAGTATATTGCCTTGTAAAGTTAGATTTAAACTTTGAGAGATGCAAGTCTTCCACCAGCATAAAAGGTCAGGTTCAATATGGCTGCTAATATGTAGAAGGTGGAAACAAAAAAAAAAACTTTTACAGGAACTGACAATTTGCCAGAGAACATTATAACTGGCTTGAAAAAAACTGCACATTTTGTTGACTGGTGAAAAACAAGGTTGCTGAATAGTTTATCTGACATCCCAATAACACCATCAGGAGTTGCTGTGTCTATGCTGTAATGATGCAGGTACTTATCACATACTAGTGCAGCTCTATGTGCTGGATATCAGAAATTATGAAAACATAATTTTATTTTATATCGACAAAAAAAAACAAAAACAAAAAACACCAACACTAAAAAATGTAAATCTAAATAAGTAATTTTTTCCTATAATAAGTGCATTTTTTTTTTTTGAACTGAGGCGGTAATTGAGACACTTTGCCAATGGAACAAACAATTTACATTTAAAATAAGGGGGAAAAAATTGCGTTGTCTTATCTTAAGTGCATATTATTTAATTATCTTATACTCAGAGTAAAAATACTCATTTCATTGGCAAATAATCTTATTTACCTACTCAAATTAAGGGTAAATAAAAAAAATTTTAAGACATTATTACTTATCTCTGGATCGTTTTTACAGTGCATAAAAATGGTGAAATTAATACGAAAACAAAACCAAACATACCAGTAAAGGAAGAGCATTATAGGATCTAAAATAATTGCTTTAACATCACGTATTTCCAATAAAATCCTTTCATTCTAACCTAAAATCCAATGCAACAAATATCAGCTTTAACCCACTGCTATTATTCTGTACATGGGCTTTTCTTATTCATATTAAAACAGCTACAGTTATTTTCATAAACTAAACCTAAACATGACAGCCTAAGAAACAAGTGTCTCTTTAATCAAATGATGTTGCATAAAAAAAACATAAAAAATCAGCATCACATGACTATTTCAAGAATGTAAGTGTGGGAGTAGAGTTGTGTTGCATCACATGATGTCTCCCTTGGATTTTACAGGCCAGACTCTCAGGAAGGATAAAACATTAGGAAGTGAAGGATTCCTAACATTTGAATTAAACACAGGAGGACAATCATTTATGACAGCAGGAGATGATTGTTCATACCGTCTTTCCCCAAGAGGAAATCCAGAAAGTGGTATGTGTAGGCCACTCCAACTTTTGTCTCAACTTGAGGCCTTCGGAGGGTGGAGTAGATGTTGCCAGGACTGCGCCTCTCCTCAGCCTTCCTCAGCTTCGGGAGCCGACACCCCATTTCTCTGGAAAACCAAAACAGAAAAAAGTAGAGGTAGACGTACAAAAAATGACCTAAACATTCAGAGAATGGTGGTTAACAAAGTTGAAGAGAGCATTGATACAGTTTCTAACCATTAATGAAGCAGTTTTAATTTGTATAAAGTCTGATAGTCACACAATAACATAGCTGCCATTGTTCATATGGCACCTTCAGCTTCAGGAAATGATGAGTGAACCAAACTGACATGTTAGCGCCGCACACACAGAAATATAAGCGTGTCAGCCATTACCTATTCGGCAGGCTGTGATACGGGCATCTCCTAATCAAATAGGGCTGATTGAGAGCGACATGTTTGATCAGAATGAATTAAAGCAGAAATGAGAGCGATTTCCTGCCCTGTCAAGCAGAGCGACATGAGACGGCACGGACAGCGATGAGGAAAGCAGAGGGAGAATTTGGGGGATTTCGAACGCATAACCCATTTATATGCTGATCCAAAAAATTTGTTATATCATGAGGCTTTTCATTTAAATTGAAACACTTGAAAATATCTTGGAAGGGAATTGGGTATGCATTGAATTTCTTTTGGAAATCCTTCCTCCTTTAAAATTCAAAGGGTAATTTTAACACAAGAATGCCTGTTTAAATATATATAAACATGGAAAACTGTTAGATTAAGGTAGAGTAAAAGCAAAAATATGGAGAATTAGTATCATGATTGAACCTTCTTAGAACAGAGACCATCTGAATCACAAAAAGGGGCGTGTTCAAATATCATCAAGCTAATTTAAAGCGACAAGACTGGTACCCTCAAGCCATCCCTGCAGATACGCTTATTATTTCTGTCTGCACATCTGCATATCTATCTTTATGTGTGAGCGGATGCGTTTGTCTTCCCCAGAGGCAGGTCTATATCTGTATCTCTGTATCTGTTCAGGGAGCATGGCGAATGACATGCTAGCACTCATTGGGCCAAGTGCACGGACATTAACTCGGCTAACGATCCTAACAGAGCACATTACGCTGTGTGTGTATCTGGGTGTGTTTTCTGGCTTCCAGCTTCAACAGCGTTTCCAATGGTTATAAAGTTTTGAAAGAAGACTTCATCTTTGTTACACTTAGCTCATCTGTTCTAAAGAGAGGGAGTTTTTAATTTAGTAATGTAGGAATAATTATATGTCATTATTCTTTTAATATAACATGTCTTTCATAATGAGTACAAATGAGGAGAGATGGGTTGATGGTGCTCTGGTAGAAGGAGAGTGAAACACTCAGAATGTCTCAGTGCTTCTATTTCTACTCTTCTTTTTCTTCCACTTTTTCCTCTTAAATTCTTTTACCATTAGCTATTCCACTTGTTTCAGAATTACTTATCAGACCCCCACATTAATCACCATTCTGTTTAAGCTTCTTTTTTTTTTTGCTCCGGTCTACGATCGTTGATTAACCACTTCCTCTATGCGTCCTTTAGAATGCCATTGATTAGTTTAGAGTAAACTAATTTCAATCCATTTGATTAAATCACTTTCAAGCCTTCCTTCATGTACTGTCATCAATTTCTCTTGATTTCTATGTGCTTCCTATCAGATTTTAATGCATGCTCTCTAAACCACAGTCGGATTACTTCATTCTGTCACATTCAGTTGGGATGAGATTAGGGCTGCAACTAACGATTATTTTGCAAATTCATTAATAATCTGATAGCAAAAGGCTCCTTAAAGAACCACAAAATAAAGCTTTTCCACTTGAGGAGTTCTGGATGGAGCATATTGATGGATGAAAAAGAGTTTTATCTTAAATGCAAAATGTTTACACATTTATTTTTTTGGTATAATTGCTGCTCTAAGTTGGTCGCTCTGTCAGCTAAAGGTATGCTTTAGAGACTCTACACTCCAGTTAACATCCGATCGATTACTAAATTAGTCAACGATTAATCAGCTTAATTGTTTCAGCCCTAGATGAGACCTTTCCTCAGATAAAGGTGAACTGTTCACTCTGAAGAGGGAGTTTTGCCCTTGAGGAAGAGTGTTGGCCTAGTGGTTAGAGCAGTGCGCTTGTGCTCTGAGAAGGTTGCAAGTACAAGGTTTGATCCCCAAACCCCCCACTTTGGTTTCCTGAGCAAAACCCTTAGCCTGACACTGCTCCCGATGTCACATATAAATCAGAATTGAACATTAATGCCTGCAGTTGAACATAGTCTCTACGGATTAGAGTCTCTAATCCAGGGTCTTTCAACCTTGGTCCTCAGGTCACACTGCCTGCATGTTGCCTGCTTCTGCACACCTGATTTTAATTTCTAACTGATGATTAGGCTTTTTGCTGATATGTAATCATCTGTATTTGATGTGCTACAACAGAAGACCGCCAAAAACACGCAGAGAGGTCTTCTGTGAGGAGCAGGGTTAAAAAAGAATACTGCTCTAGTCAGATTGAAGCATCTTGATTGACAGGATGGAGCGTCAGATATATAGATAGTTTAGGGAAATGGAATGCTTCACATGGCTCAGGTTATATGGGTTACAAATGTAGGAAGGATGTCAAAACATATTTTCTCCAAGCAGCAAAGCTCCATATTATTCTGGTAGATTCCAGTCAAGAAAGGAGGTTTAATAAGAACACAATATATTATCAATTAGTATGAATTCTGAATCTTATACTTGAATCTTTAATGTTAAATTTTTTTCATCTTTTATTGCAGAAATTGCAATAACATATATCTAATTTATCCGTATTTGGTCACCAGCGAGCAAGACATGTCCCGACAAACAAGAAAGTACAGGAGAAAGGGTTTTGCTCTGTTCTAAGAAGCCTAATCTGGAGACCCATTGGAAAATGGGAATTTATCTATGATCCATGTTTTTCTTTAACTACAAACTACGATGTTTCTGAACAAGACGCTGTGGTCATACATTCATTTTAGGCCAAGACAATCAAATATGCCGTTCATCTCCTGTTTCGTTAATGATCACAAAAGGCTCTAAATAAGATGAATCCAGATGAGGATGATGGGGAATTTTCATGTCCAGTCTCCCCCGTTAGAATGCCATCAGGCCTGTATTGTATTGCAAAAATCACGCCCAGGATCTTAAAGGTAAAGACAAAGGAGCTCATGGTAGGATCCCCTCTAACCACTAAAGGGGGACAGTTGGGACGGTTTGGGCATCTGCAGATATCTACTGTGTATCTTTCCAGGCATGTTTTAATGGGAGGAGACCCAGGAAAGGAATAGAACTTTCTTTTGGGAACAATATATCCTTTTTGGCCCAACACATTGGATTAACTCCAAGAATAAGCTGGAGAGCAGATGTCTTGGTGGGATGAGTGAGCGAGTACTAATCTCCTGAACTTTAACATCCAAGCCATATTTTCCTGGTTTAGATTACATTGTCAGACCTTTCTATCTTTAGAAAAAATGTAAGAAGAACTGCTTTCCACTTCTTGTACCATTTTTATAGCGCTTTCTGTCAGGTGACTGTCCCGCTGAGCCCTGAAAACTACTGTCTTCAGAGAGACAGCACAAGGCTCCAGGTTATGACAACGTTACGACATGCAGATCCGGTCCCAACATATTATTCTTAAGGGCTTCACTTTCATATGCTTTGTCTGCTAAAGGTACAAGGGTTTTATGTGAGGTTGTTGAGCAGGACTCATCTCCGGCTGTTTAAGGAAAAGGGATTTGAGGTTAGGAGGAGGATGATGCACACGAGTGAAGAGTAAAAAGATTTTAGACTGTGCCATAATGTAGACACAGTTTTACACCTCTGAAGTTAGATGTGAATAAATGTGGTCTTCAACCCCACTGAAATGCCACACATCTAAAACAAATTACCCTCATGTTTAACCATACTTCTCTCCATTTATTTTGTATTGTGCCGTGTTAAACAAATAACCACTGAAATTATGCTGCCTCTATGTTGCTGGTGACAGTTGTTTTTGTTGCTTTCAGATTCACCGTGACTGCTTGTGCGTCTAGGTTCTGACAAGCCAACTGCTCCGCTGTTTGATCCAGCATCTTATTTGCTCTTTAATTGTATGCCGACAGTTCAGCTCTACGTGTAGGTCTCGCTTTCAACAGATGAACTCTGTCAGAGAGGGTTAAAAAACATGTCTCTAATTGAACACAACACCGACGCGAAAACACAAGGTTGTAGTGGCAGAGAAGCTCATTGGCGCTTAAGACTTGAGGCCTTTTTAGGGGCCTTTTTTTCTGTGAGTTGACTTCAAACACAATCTCTCCCTTGCTGTCACACAAACACACTGGGAGAAAAAGGCCTTGACAGCAAAAAAAAAAGATATATATATATTTTTTTTTTTTGCTGAAAAGGGACAGACGGGAATGACAGAGAGACAGATGAAAGGAATAAAAAAAAAAAAGAGAGAGATTGAGGTGAAAGACAGGGAATAGCAGAGGGCTTCTCATTAGAGAATCTTTTGTAACGGAGAGGTTTTGAAATGACAGGAGATTTATGTGAGAGCATAATCTGCCTGCACTTTGTCGCTCCTCTACTACCTCCAGTGTCACTTCAGGGATGCTGGTTTTACTAGAGGCAATATTCGTCTGTAAAGGAGAGAAAAGCTGCACGTGGACTAAGACAGAAGGAAAATCTGTTGAAATTAGGTAGAGAGGGTAAAATACTAGAACACCTGATAGCTTTTTTTTCCACTAAACATCAGATGAAGTCAAAAGCATTATATGAAAAAGAACATACTGCACAGCTATGTGTTCTGTTTTTATATTTGAATTCTTCTTATGGGATTATAATGAGACACTAATATAGGTTGCATGACGTGTGCAGAGGAAATACAGGCAACAGGCCATGATAAAGTTAGCAGAGTGGTTCAAAAGCTCCTATTTTTCTTTTTTTTTCCTCCATTCTTTCAATTTACTTTACTTTACATCAATAACATCAACTTTGTTATATTCAGTTTTTCCGAGATGATGAGAACCTTCCATTATGTATGGATGATGCTTAGTGGCAATCTTGTATGATAGGCTGCTTGACTGTTAAGGTGGGGCGACACAGCTCAGGGGGGGTAACAGGACTGAGCATGAAAATGTGGTGTGCTTTGAGACAAAGACTGGGCAGAGGAGCCATTAGTGGAGCCACTGCTTTGTCCTCACAATATTCTCCCCTGGCTCACAGGCAATGACCCCCCACCTCCAGCTTGGTTCCTCCCATCTCATCCTTTTTCCATGAACCTAAAACTACAACACTATATCAGTGTTTTTCATCTTTTTTTTTTAAATAGATTGACATATTAAGAAACCAGGAACCATAGCCTTAGAGAAGCTCAGATTTTATGTAATTTTACGGTTTCTGACAACTTTTTTTCATCAATATTGTTCTTATTTTCATCTATTTTGATTCTAATCCCTGCTTCAAATCATTTACTCCTGTGAAATATGACTGTTCAGAACATTTTAAAAGAGAAACAAAATGTGAGTGGAGAAACAATAAAAAAAAAAAAAAACAGAGACAAAAAATCAAACAAAAGGCAGGCAAAGGGTCCCTAAAACAATTTCTGGGGGAAAAAATAAAATAAAAAATAAAGCCTCCTCCTTGGAGAAATTATGTTCTTGGATTCACATATTCCTTAAAAACAGAATATGAGCAGATGCCAGAAAATTACCTTCAATCTTCAGTTGTCAAAGCATTTCCTAAACATCCGCCAGGTAGGTGCAGATTAATGCACTTTCTATTTTTGTATCGTCATTTCATTCCTCCAAACTTCCATTTCTTTCAAACCATTTTTAAACTTGGGCTTATGAGTTGTTTTTTTTGTAAATAAAATATAAATTTCCCACCATCAGGTATGAGCAAGCAAATGATCGGTACAAAACAGAGTAGTTGGCAGAATAATTTCATATCAGATTTTGTACAACATAAACTGTACAAAAAGGACAAAAAAGTGTTAAAATGGGAAAATCAGAACTGAAGTATGGTTGATATATAATGCAGTGGCAGTTGTCTATTATTGTTAGCCAAAATGTTGGGTATTAAAAAAAAAAAAAGAAGCCAAATCCACAAACTGTTGAAGGGAAGAAATTTACAAATACACAAGAAATCCTAACTTCTAAGGAGTTTCACTCTAGACAGTGAAGTAGTACAGGCAAGCAGCAACATTAGGAAAACCATTGCTTTTATACCAGTAAGGCTGACAGCAAACTGGGCGACAGACTTTCCTAAACAATGAGATACACTGACTTTTTTCTAACTAACTCTCCGCTTAAGCATCCACTGATTCAATTTTTCTTTCACTACATCTGAAATAAGGATAAATGACTTGTTCCGTTTGGTCTAAAGCTTTTTTTGGCATATTTCTATATGAAAAATCCTAGTTAGTATGTGTATGTGTTCAGTATGTGCAGAGTGGGAATAGTTTATTGTGAAAAACTGTCTTTTCAACAGTGAGAAGAACAAGATCCCTACAACAGATGGTTTGACGCCCACAGAGCCCAGCCTATATCCACAGAAACACACTGAGGCAAGTGCAGAGAGATGCTCAACAGGACCTGTGAGAATTTATTTGGGATGCTTTAAAAGAAAATCAAACAGATTATATTGTCTTGTTTGTGGTTGTTGTTTCTAATAGAAAATATGCTTAAATAATTTTGGAAAGGACCTGAATTTAGTTCTGGTTACTTTTGCACAGATGCCAACAGTCTCACAAAAAAAGACAATTATAAGATAATTTGATAAGGCTTATAAAGCTTGAGCTGTTATAGATCTATATTGTATCGGGCTTGAATGTACACCACATGATTGTGCTATATTCCACTGCATTTTAAAATCTGAGGTGACAGACTGATTCCTGTGGAGTGGGCCATCCCTCCCACTGGGCTTCCCCCACGTCTCAGATGTGGGATGATTCCTTGGATGGAGGGAGGAGGGGGCAATATGAAATGAGGGGGGGAAAGACAGTAGGAGGAAATGGAGAGCGACAGATAGACAGGGAGCAGAGTGGGGAGCATGTAAAGCTGCCTGCAGGGAGGTACAATACCTCCAAGCAGAAATGTAGTCACCTCAAACGGTGTTTTAATGAGGCTGTGTAAGGAGGATAAAAACTAATTATGACAGTGATGTATTGCTCTGCTGCACAACTTCTTGCCTGGTTGTTCTCTCCTAAAAACCAGTAGGAAAAAAGGGCTATTAAGAAATAAAATAGAAAATAACTGGGGAAAAGTGGTATAGCCCTCAATTACAGATGAAAGTACACAGATGAACAGTGAAAGCAAACAATGGAGCCCCCCTTCAGGCCAAAAGCCTCAATTCTACTCACCAACGGAAGCCTAACACAGATAGAGATAATAGAAACTTATAACTTTAAGCAATTTCTAGGGTCTATGTAATACGATCCTTATATCAGGGCGAGGGTCACATTACCCAATTTTTTATTTTTTTTTTAACTAAAATGGAATAAATGGTAAACTGTCCTGCCATATTGCCACTCAGGAAGAGCTCCATGATTTTATGAGGGCAGCATTGAATTAGAAGGTGCAGAGGTTGTTAAGCTAAAAGAGTGTAATAGGTCTGGTTGGAAATTACAGTTATGACTCACTTAGCTTCATCTTGGATCCAGAAAGTGTCCTTTATCAAATCTTAAAATAAACATAATGTGTTGTTTCCATCTGTCCTGTAGCTTACAAATATGTAATCAATGATTCTTTAACATAGTTTCCACACATAAATAAAACTCAAACATAAGCTAATTAGTTTAGTTTTGAATAGTGTATTCGGGTAGGCAGTAAATAATTTTTCATGAACTCCGTTTATGGACCTTATGAATGTTTGAGTATCAAATATATTTAATCTGTCTTATAAGCACAAAAAAAAACTCATCTAAATATGATCTAGAAGCAGGTGATCTGTTAAAGCTAGGGGAGAAGATTCGCAAAAATCTCAAAAAACCCCCCCTCTCGACACTAAAAAAAAAATACACATGCACAGCCCTATACCTGCTCCCTAGAGAGATCTCCTATTAAACGTGTGCGAAAGGCGTGCACCAGCCCATCTCTCCTCGTGCACGCTCTGTTTAAAAGTTGCTGTTTGCATCGCTCATACAGATTACTTTCCAAAAGAAGATTTGCAAATTTTCCACTATGTCAGACTCACCACCGGTAAGTGAAAATGGGGGCGAGCATATAGGACGGCCATATTTAAACATATCATCAGAATGATTGACAATTAGGAGGACCACTTATTTTGATGATCCACCCAGAAATATAACAACCTCCACTATACCTTTAAGATTGTGTTACTTTCAGTAAAGGTCATCATATCAGGCAGTTTTAAGTCTAATTATGGGGAATATGGCACTCCACCAATGGTCTTCCTTCCTTGAGAGAAAAAGGTTTGGTTGGAATTTGGCCCCTTGGGTGATTGTAGACGGGTAGCTGTAGAACTGCTACTAGCCCCTGTTATGGCCCCTGTACTGAGGACAAAACTAAAATCAATCTATAATGATACTAGCTGGCACAGAAATAGTAACAGATTGGTCTCTTTGAAAATGTTTTAATTTCTAACCTTTACAGCTTTACTTCTAGATCAGAGGTCTGTAACCTACAGTTTGGGAGAAGCAAATAGCTCCTTGGTTCACTTAATATATTAAACAATAAGATACTTAGTTTTCTTTGTTTTGTTTGTTTGTTAAATTCTCTTGTCCTGTTCCCCAATGAAAAAAAAACTGTCTAATACCACCCCTGGTGGTTCTGTAAAATCACATTCCTCTTAGGATCTCATAGATTCTCTCACTGTCCCTGTATTTAGTAGCCACACAGCTAATTAGTGCCTCATGCATACTCTCTGGATGCAGTCTGAAATTGTATGCTTTTGGTCCCCACAAATCAGCTCATCCCACATGGCTGGGGTAGCTCCCAGTTGTTGTTTTTTTGTTTAAAAAAAAGAAGATAACAATCCAAGGAATTGTAATGATAAAAAAGTACTATAACCGCAACCCCCTCATAAAAAAAACAAATGCAATAGAGTTTAGGTGTTAATTTAACGCATAAAGACTATATTATATTATTTCTGCTTTCCTCAGCATTTTACACAGATAAAAACTGAAAAGTTATCTTCTAGTTTCAGCACCGGTTTAATGAACATTAAAGGCTCACACGCGCCTTTTGCTTTTCTCGCAGTGAAACGCGCGCGCGCACTTTACGCACGGACACATCCAGCGCGGTGCCACTCCGTCACGCATCTGTTAGTTCAGTTTAACCTGAGATTGAGCTGCTACGTTAAAAAAAATAAAAATAAAAAAATAGACAAAAGGAAAATAAAATAAGTCCACTGAATATTTGCTCGGAAATGGTCGCCATCGTGCTTTTATTGTGAAAGGCTCTGAAACAGTATAAGCTGGCATTAAAGTTGTTTTTAAAAGCTACTGTGTGAAAAACTAATTATTTTCAGTTAAAATTATCCCCCCAAAATATTTGGAAAGTCACTTTTATTTCAGTGCGGTGCCTAAATCCCCTGCAGACATCTTATTAAAGAAGCAAAGTGAGATACTCACCAGATAGAGACGGTCTCTGTGTGTTTAGGAAGTGTTGAATCCTCCCCTCTCCCTCTAATGTCTTCACTGTCTGTCCCCGTCACGGCACGCAGCGGCTCCCACGACCACTGCGATCCAATGGGAGGAAAACCTGAATCCTTCATCTAGGAGCTACATCTGAGTGGAAACTGATCTCACTGTAAACACTCCGTCTGTGTTCAGGAGGGGAGAGAAAAAGAGGGCGGATTATCGTCTCCCCTCGCCTTCCCGTTGTTCCCCTCTTGCGTAAAAAACTCTCCAAGAAATATGCGTCCTGTAAACTGTTGATTTACCCATTTATACATAAAACAGCTGGATGATTCAAATTTGACTTGTTTTTATAACATTTAGAGAGTTCTTTTATTCTTTACCAGATTCTAAAGCATGGATTATAAAAGTAATGGCTTATATTTCAGCAGGGATTAGTCTTCAAATATGTGATCTGGAATAAATTAGATTAATAAGTGGAAGAAGGGAAAGGAAATTTAAAGGTAGAAGGGATATATGAACAAAAATGGATTTAAAAAGACAAATGTAGAGAATATAGCCTACAGGTCAAAACTTTGTGCACATCTAATTCTGTTTCAAATACCTTTTTATTCATTTTCACACATTTTCCTTCAGTTTCCATTAATTTATTAGGTTTCTAAAATGTAAATATTGGACTAAAGTTTAAATAATTGTAATGTAACATGTTGGAAAGATGAGCAAGTGAAATAGACCTTACAATGGATAGATGATGAAAGGGAAGATGCAATGATCAGTGAATGGATGGAGAGAATAATACATGAATAGATGGTTGATAAATTAATAGATGCCTCAACAAATGGATAGACAGGAATAAGAGATGTGTGGGTGATGGACAACTAAGATGCGTTAGTGAATGAATGATTCACTAACTTCATTAAAATATGGATAAAGAACGGAATAGATGGCTGGCCATATGGATGAACGGTGAGACAAATAGATGGGTGAATACATGAATGGGATGGTTGACAGACAGATTACAGGAGTGGGTGGAAACGGAATAGTCTGGAAATACAAATGGTTTTTCACTTATCCAGACCTGGAAACTATTTATATACAACCCAAGTCACTCGTCAGACTGCATACGAATCCTGTAAATCTACCATCAAGGTTAAATTTTTATGCATTTCAAGGGTCTTCTTAGGAGAATTTATATTTCATAGGAAGCTATCCAGACTAATCCATAATTCAGAAACGTCTGACAACAGGATGAGGGAGGGGTGGGTCAAAGGGTGGAGAGGGCGCTCTGGGGAATCCGGTCACACCATCGGGCTGTGACAAAAACAAAACGCTGTGACCAGAAGACAAGGGGGCTTGTTGCCAGGCAAACCTGACGGAGGCGGATGAGAGCTTAAAAAAAAAAAAAAAAAAAAAAAACAAGCCAGGCTGCTCTCCACAACTCTATGCCCATCAAGGCACATCATGCAAGCTTCTACATTTTTATTTTTCTAAGGAGGAGAAAACTTAAAATAAAATGTAGACAAAATGACAAATTAAACTTTTATTTAACAAAATAATCAAAATACCAAAAACGCCAACAATTCTCAGGCTCTCTGAAGAAAACGACTCAACACAGTAGTGCCTGCTAAACTTAAGGTCAATGTCCAAAAACAGGAAGATAAAGGAAAAAAACTGATGTACACCACATGCACATGTCCATGTCCATCCCTATGAAGCTGTATAAAATTTAATTTGAACATCAGGTGCAAGATATAAAAACAGAGAAACCTCAAACAGTGAACAGTATAAAAAAGAAGAAAAACCTTTTCAGTGTAACAAAGCACCTAAATTGTGAAAAACTCCCTTCATTCCATCCTTTTTATTTTAACATTTGCTTATTCATGAGTATCTTTGCTGTGACTGTCGACCGTGAAAATCTGGAAACATGCGACCAACATTTAACCAAAACAAAAATGTAAAACACTGATGAGGTGAGGCCCAAGCAGCCTTGCATTCACCACACTGACACCCAATGAAATAAAAAAGGAGCACAAAATATTAGTGCTTAAAATGTATGACAGTGCCTTTATGCTGAAGGAAAGTTAATATCTTAATTAGAGGACAATTAGACCTGAAGAAAATACAGTGTAGAGAACAGATTGTTAGCATTACAAATATAAACACTTCTATGTACAGAGAGCCCTTAAAACACACCAAACCAAACAAATAGAAAAAAATAAATTAAACATAATATAAATAAACAAAAAAAGTGAGATTAAAATATTTAAGTGTTTTTGTTTTGGGATTATATAAAAAAAAAAAAAAGTGATCCCATGCTTTGGTTGGTATAGTGAGTGCGCTCTATAAAAAGTTTCTGTGATCCGTGTGAATTAAAAGCAGCCGACCACAGGTCAACGTCACCAATCTGGGTTAAAGAGGCTGGGATCTATGTGGTTCGGTTTAAGGGGGAAGCTCATGCAGTCTGGTGTTAAAAAGGCTCTGAAAAACTGGAGGCGAAGGTGTTCGGAAAACACAGCGTTGGTCGGGAGGCTTTCAGACGTCCAGGACGACAAGATGATAACTCGTCTGCATTCTACCTTGTTGAAGCTACCGTAGGCTCCATCTAGGAGAGATGAAAGATCACAAGGAATGAACAGTTTCTTTCAAATGAAAACTTTTTTAACTGTTTATTTTTTGTAAACACCAATATTTAGTTCTTGTATTTTGAACCAAAATGCAAGCATTTAAACAGCAAGGATTCTTCAAGCATGAACTTATGCTCTTGTGCATTTCATAATAAACATTTTATGAAATTCTATACTAGGACAAACAGATTTAGTTTTAAACAGAACATTTTTTCTCAAACGTCACAAATTAAAAACAGGCATTCCACAGTTACTTCATAATCTGCTGAAATCTAGTTTTACTAAACTTTTCTGAATAGAGATAGCCATTGACATTTATGATAAATGCCACATCAGTAACTCTTCCTAGACACATGGTATTTACAAAAAAATAAAAAATAGATATATCTATAGTTCATTTCCCACGGATGAACAGTTTTACCTTGCAGGAGGCTTAACAGCTTTAGACTATTGCACAGTCAGCATAGTCTGGACTCCACAGTCCACAAAGCTCTAATAACAGGGGATACAATCAGAAAACAGGCAGTTAAGTGTTTGCTTCAAAAGTCAAAATACTCACAACGGCGCCCTCTAGTGGAGCCCATGAATATTACAAACCAGAACTAAAATACGAAAAAAAAAAAAAAAAAGACTCATAGCAAATATTTGCAAAACCTTTTAAAGCAATAAAATAAAAAAAATTTAAAAAATAGAAATTACCTGGTTGACAGGTCGAGCCCTTTGGTCTGGTGTCCAAGGAGCTTGGGTGTACTGCACATTAAAGAAAAATATGGGGCATCAAAACAAGCTTTTTTTTTTAAATCAACAAATTATTATATTTTTTTACGAGCAAAAACAATGTAAAGTAGGAAATCCAGAGATGTAACGATATAATACCATTTGTATTTCCTCTTCTGACCCAAGTTAAGTTGCCTTTTGAGATATAGATGTGTACACTGATACATATACTTATACATAGGAGTTTATAAAAGCCTCTTCAAAAGAATAAGTACCGTATTTTCCAGACTATAAGCCTTTACTTTTTCTTCATGCTTTGAACCATGCAGCTTATAAGAAGCTGCAGCTTTTCTGTGGATTTTTCCTAACGGCCAGAGGGGGAAGTCCAAGTTGGAAATGAAAGAATAACGGGCTAATTTTTTTCAGCACAAAATATACTAGCAGCAGGCACAAAGAAGAACAAATGTACTGAATTCACACATTTTCCCGCATTAAAGCTGAACCAATGAAAAGACTGGGCTCAACTCCTGCAGAGCTGAAATAAAGAGCAGACGAGGCCCCATCTTTCAGTAGAAGCTCTTACTGCTGCAAACCCAAAGCTAACGGGAGCTAGCATGCTTCTTCATCCCTACTCCAGGGACTATATGTAGG